AGGAGTGAAAACAGCCACTCCTCTAATTTCCAACTCCAGCATGTACACCTCTTCTCTGAGCATCACCTTCTTTCTCACATTGAATTTCTTTGTCAAAAGTCGTTATCGACAAGTGGAGCATAATCGAAGCGAAAGAGATGGCTTCCAGCGATTTTCAAATCATTCAACGACTGCAGCAGCTGCACAACCAATTCATTCTTTGTTTTGGCAAACACTGCGTTGCATTGAATGGCCTTACCGTATTAATTATTGGTGTCAGTTGGGACACTATTCGTTACACGTCATGGCACGAATTTTCAGTAAACTTGAGGGGAGACTGGACAGCTGTGTCCCTTTTCACTGTTTCCCAGATTTACACTTCGCGGTCAGAATGGATAAAAATATTGAACTGTGCAATTTTCCAGCATGCCCTGCGCAAACAACTTGTCCTAATGGTGGTCGTTACCTAAACGTTGGCTGCAGATCTTCTTTTCAGTGTACTCCATACTATAGGTACTAATGTTCTATTCAACGCGCACTATTTTAGTGAAGATTTGTTTTGTTTTGCAGTGGTTCAAGTACATGCATAAATGGATGCTGCTGTACCGTACCTACAGTGTTTACAACACCACCTTCCACAGAACGCTTCGGTAACAGTTCCATCTGTGAAAAATCCCTTCTGTTTGATTTTGCCATTCAAGGCTTTTGTCCGTCGGGACAACTGTCGGAAGTTCGATGTAGTGGCCGTTATCAGTGCCAAGCTGGTCAAACCTGTATGACTGGACTATGCTGCACAACCATTGGTAACGAGTGGAATGGTACGCACAAACGCTTGCATTCCCATATGCTACCATTTGAACTAGGCAATTACGAAATCTTGTCCTTTCAGTGGCATGTGGTGGATTAGCAGCACTGGGTTCGTGCAGCAGTGGGATGTGCACAACGGGAGTTTGTACCGCGTCAAATTACTGCTGTGAATGTCCGGTAGGCAGAAGCTCAGGACGGTGCAATAATGTAAGTGCAAAGTTGGATTTGAAACATGCATGCGAGCAAGATAGGATTACGCTTCAATTTGTTAGAAAAAAATCAGTACTCAAATAGTTTGCTTACAAGGGAAAGGTCAGAAATCAAAGTGGCCAATCTCAACAAGCTTGCATATCGTACTACACATCGGCCTTCTGCATTTGCTGAACATTTCTACGGAAAACCTTTGGTCAATAGAATTTTCAAGAGTTAAACCTTCAGTCGTATATTTTC